CACAACACAACCAGGGGGAAGGTGGGGGGGGGAGCTGTGACCTCTGCCAGGGGGACTGGGACCCCCACTTTTGTGGGGTCACCCCCAACCCCAAGCCAACCCTTTTTTTCCATCTGTGTAGTGGGGGCTGTTGTCCCCCCCTTGGTGTGGGTTGTGACCCCCCCCCCTGGGTGCCATGGAGGGGGGGGGAGTGCTGTGGGGCTCTGCCCATACCTATGGGGCTGTGCCATGGGAATGGTGGAACTGCTGTGACCCCCCCACCCCCAGTTATGGGGTTACCCGGCCCACGTTCCTCCCACGGGTGCTTCCCGGGGGCCGTGCCCGTGTCTTTCCCTGGCACTCGCCCAGGTTGTCCCCGTCCCACGTGGGGACGGCACCCGTGGCACCCGGCGGGTGCGGTGCCTGACTCAGGGCGGGTGGCACACGTGTGGCCACCCAGCTGCGTGACACCCGTGGCTCCGGGATGCAGCCAGGGTGCTTTCCCTCTCCCACCCCCCCAATCCAAGTCGACAATCTCCTTCCCGGGGTCTCCCCCCACTCCCACCACCTCCTCGGTCCAGGGGAGGCTGAGCCCGGTGCAGCTCGGTGCATGTGTGGCCCTGCTGCTGTGCCCGCAGGCGGCGTGATCAGCTACGTGGGCTCCAGCGGCGCCTCTCCCACCCGCACCAGCCCCGTCTCCCTCTGCAGCGACAGCTCCAACAGCAGCTCCCAGTCGGGCTCCCAGTCCTTCCCCACCTACTTCCCCCCGTCGCCCACCGGTTCCCTCCAGGATTCCCGAGCCTACGGCGGGGGCTCGCTGGCCCCCCGTGAGGATGGCTCCCCTTCATCCTCCTCCTCATCCTCCTCCTCCTCATCATCATCATCGTACGGCTCCTCGGTGAACTACCCCGGGGTGCAGCAGGTCCCCGTGGACGAGCGGCGCCGCAGCTCGCCCAGCAAAGCCGGCAGCACCGTCACCAGTGAGTGGGGTGTTTTGGGGATGGGGGGGGCAGCAGGTGGTGTGTCCCCCCCCTTCTCCCTCACGGTGGGCACCCCAGGACCCCCTTCACCCCCTGCCCCCTCCGCAGAGCTGAACGGGATGGTGCTGCTCTGCAAGGTCTGCGGGGACGTCGCCTCCGGCTTCCACTACGGCGTCCACGCCTGCGAGGGCTGCAAGGTACCGGGGATGGGGTTGGGGTCACGGAGCCCCTGCCGTTGCTGGGGGGACCCCAAGTGACACCCCCACCCCTCCCCTGGCTCTGCAGGGCTTCTTCCGCCGCAGCATCCAGCAGAACATCCAGTACAAGAAGTGCCTCAAGAACGAGAACTGCTCCATCGTCCGCATCAACCGCAACCGCTGCCAGCAGTGCCGCTTCAAGAAGTGCCTGCTGGTCGGCATGTCCCGTGATGGTGAGCTCAGCCCCCCCCGGGACCCCCCCCCAAACCTGGGACCCCGTATCGAATGCCCTACATCCCCCCTGGGGATGGGATCCCCTCCTGGCGTTGGTGTCCTCCCCCATGGTCAGGGCTGTGCGTCCCCTCCAGGGCCGGGTCCCCTGCCTGCACTGGGTGCCCCCCCGTGTCCCCCTGTCCCTGTGCTCAGGGCTCTATGTCCCCTCCAGGGATGAGTGTCCCTTGGGGTCAGGGCTGCCTGCCCCCTCCGGGACCGGTTCCCCCTGTGCTCTGGCTGGATGTCGTCCCCCCCGCCCCGG